GAATAGATTGAAAATATAACAAGGAAGGCAAATTGAAAATGACAAGGGACACTAGTACTAGCAATTTCAGAAATGCCCTTACAAATGCACTATTTCGTTTAATTTTGCAAATGATGTAGGTATTGGTCCAGATATGTTATTCTCGTCAATTTGAATCCTGTCTAGATTTGACAGATTGCCGAGCTCATCAGGCAAGGAACCTGTCAATTGGTTCCCATTCAAGAGCCTGTAAAATAGAATACCACTTGTAAATTAGCAGATAAGAAAATTTGATGCAAATATGCAGTATTACAATATTGATAATAAGATCAGAAATGAGCTAGCTTGAAAATCATTGTTAAATAAATTTAACTTACAATAGCTTCAAGGTTGTGATATTGCCAATCTCTTTTGGTATACTCCCATTAATTTTGTTCCATATAAAACACCTTTTACAATGGAAATGAATGATAAATCATCATTAAGTAAAAAATTATAAACCTTCCAGGAAGGATTGACATAAAGATAGCTTTCATAATATACTTAGCCTCACAATGTCAACAGATGAGGCAAGCGGCCAAGTGCTGGTGATAAAGATCCTGAAAGATTCATATTCAGTAGTTGCCTGCATGAAACAAAAAAAAAAAAGGAAAAAAGAAGAAAGCAATATAGCATCGTTGTTAATTAGTAAAAATGTCAAAAAGCAATCAGGTGAAAGTTTACTGGAAGTTGATATCTAGTTTTTGTGGGTTTGTTGACATTTAGAAAATTCTTGACATAAAAACAAAATAACAGTAACCAGTTTAGGGCTATGATATGATGAAGGGCTTATAGCAGCAACTTTTCAATGATGTTAAGATGTATTAGCAAGTGTTCTGATTAGTACCTAGACCTATATATCTTGGTTGAATGACTGCAGTGATGGGTAATTTGTCCATAAACATGCAAAACTAAATTGACAACTAAAGCTTACAATTCTGTGACATGCAGAAAGCCATCATCTGGGGTTGTATTAGAGCATAAAACTCCAGTCCAACGGGATGTGCACGGATCTCCTCGCTTCCAATTAGCCAAATTTTTCTTGGGATCAATCAAACTTTTCTCGATGGTTTGCAATGCGCTCACTGCAAATTGTAATTAACATGAATTAATTCATCCAAATGAACGTTATGATTTTGGAATACGGAAGAGTAAATCAAACCCCACAAGATGAAAGTGCAAGCTACTAATAGACTTTAAAAGGAATAGAGCCAAGGAAACTATATATGTTCAGTAGTATTTACAAGTATGCATCCCATATCTCAAAAAGTACTTAAACATATATAGTCCTGTTCTCAAGGCACAATTTATGTAAACTCTTGGCATTCTTTGAAAGTAAAACTGCGAGAGGGCAAATGGTAGACGCTTGTGGCCTCTACTATTGAATCAAGACACGAAAAAGGCTACCTTCATCTGGATGAGTTTTGGAACTTTGTGCTCCAACAAGCGCTGAAGACAAGAAGAAGCAGCCCAAAAGGACACAGAGTTTTGCTTTGGACATCCCGAGATAGCAGAGTTCACTAGAGTTGTGAAGCATCTTTGATCACTACACACACAACCAAAAATGGGAGTCTTGTCTTTCAGTATAAGAAGAAAGCAACAAAGACTGAAAATTTAAATTTAGAGTCCGTTTGGTCCACAGAAAACCATTTTCAGAAAACTAACATTTTCTGTATTTTCCAACATCCAAAAAAAGCGGTTCCTAAGGATCCGACTGACAAAAGAAGCGGGTTTTCGGGTTAAAACATTGAAGGCCAAGCAACTCCATTTGCACCAACAAGTAACATCATTTTACTCCGGCAACTACCAACAAGTTCGTCGGCGGCCATTTGCAGAGTGAAAAATATTTTTTTATAAAAAAATATTTTCTAAAATGGAGTCTTTTCCGTAAACCAAATAGATCACTTAAACTTTTTATCAATCGGAAAAAGGAAACAACATTAGATTGTATTCATTCAGATAAATGCAAAACTCCTGCGCGTGACAGACTGCTAAAGAGACAATGAAGCATTGCTATATATAATTGCAAACGAAATAGCAAGGAGGTTTGGGAAGATAAAAAGAAAATAAAACATTACCGTGTGTAGAAATCTAGAATTGTAGAGACGAAAGGTTTCTGCAACATGAAATGAATATTGGAAGACATATAGGACTCCCCATGTGGCTAGCGGATGGACCACGCCACTCCGAAATGCTGACGTGGCAAGCAATGAGCAAAAAAAACGCAAAATTGGTGACTGACCCGGTAAAAATTTTAGCGCGCCCGCCGTTTATTTTCCTCATGACCTTCTTCTCCCTCTGTTTCCCGTGAATGTGTAAGGCTAAACTCCTATTTGGGTCCCTGAACTATTATATAGATTTTTGATTTGGTCCTTAAACTAAATAAATTCCTAATTTGGTCCTTAAACTATTGTACAAACCCCCTGAGTTAGTCCCTAAACTATTGTATGGACTCTTGAATTAATCTTTAAACTATTATACGGATCCCTAATTTAATTTTTACTGTTTACCGATTTAGCCCAACTTGGTCCTTCTGTTAAATACTAACTTAGAGACCAAATTGGAGTGAAATTGTAAACAGTAAAAGCCAAATTGGAGGTCTGTACAATAGTTTAAGGACCAATTTAGATCAAATTATAAACAGTGGGACCAAATTGGGGGTTTATACAATAGTTTAGGGACTAAATCAAAGATTTCTTTATTTTAAGGACCAAATCAAGGGTCCGTACAATAGTTTAAGGACAAAAATGAAGATTTAACTAATGTGTAAAGCAGTAAAATTTCTCCCCAAATTTGTCCGTGCCACCAAATGAAACCCTAGTTCTCAAATTGCCTACTCTGCGTTCAAATCCGATAGAAATCTGAACAATTTCTTTAGATGAGAATCTATTGCAGCGAGCGTAAGTCGATTTGATGCTGGATACGAGCTTTTCTGTTTTCAAGAGCCAATAGTGCTTCGCTGTAATGGCAGCTCGTCTATCCTAAAATTCATTCTCTAGTCCTTTGGTTTCATTCTCCCATCCTACAATTATTGGGTTTGCAAAAATGTAGTCGTTATTCATTAGAAAGAAGATCCGATCCATCCCAGTGGATACAAATCTTTAAAAATTCACAAAGATCCTGACCCTGACTTGGGTCAATGGTAGATTCATTGATGAGAGTATTCTTTTATCAAGTTTGTTGCAATAATGGCAGAAATTTATCAGGTATGAACCCAGATCCAACACGTTTTCTCTGACTTTGTGAATGGGTTAAGGTAGCCGCACCGAAATTGATGGAAAACTAACCTTGGAAATTCTATGAGACATTAATTCATCTTGGACATGGTTTCTAACTTTCTATTCGTACCTAATTCGTACCTAACAGTGCTGGTTATTGGATTCCCCATCACTCATTTTCTCAGAAACCCAAGGATGGGAAAATTGAAAATTTTTTCCCACTGATGTAACAGGATAGGGTCCTCAAGTGTGAAAGGAATTTCGCATTAGAGGAAAAGTGAAGATGCACCACAAACTAAAAATCGGGAGGGAAGACAAGGAAGGATAAGTAAACCTGTTGCACATCTCAACATATGATACATCAGAGTCAGGGACAACAACTGGTAAAGTGAAGATGCACCACAAACTGAAAATCGGGAGGGAAGACTTTGAATGCAGTGAATGTAACCTCTTTAGGTTCAGAAGGCAAGGAAGGATAAGTAAACCTGCTGCACATCTCAACATATGATACATCAGAGTCAGGGACAACAACTGCTAGCCTCCAACACGTTTTCTTTAGCTTTTCATTTGTTTGAATTTAGGAGTCAATAAAATAGCGTAGGGCATCCGTATTCTGAAATTGCTTGGAAATTCATCGGACATGTATTCATCTTCCACTCGGTTTCTAACTTTCTATTAATCAATACCTAAAGCCATATGACTCCCCATTCCACATTTTTTAAAAAAAAAAAAAAAAATAAGTAATCCGCCAAAAAAAAGGAACAAATTAATTGGCAAAAAACTTTCAACCGGCAATGGCCTGAACTTGAAGGAAACGGTTAAGGGGGCCCCAAGAAGAAACTCCGAAAACAAACCCCCTGAAGAGGAAGAGTAATAAGATGTGCTAAACTGAAAAGCGGAAGTGAAGACCTGACTGCTGTGACTTTAACCTCTTTAAGTTCAGAAAACATCTCAACATATATACATACAAAATTAGCTTAAACATGATCTCCTCTACTACAACAGCTTCCATTATGGCAGCATTGTGGGCAACACTACTTATAGGTGCCTCCAATATTGCTTCTCTTGGTTAATAGAAGAATAAATGTAGCTTTAAAAGTAGAGAAGCAGATTTAAGTCCAATGAAAAAAATGGGGATATATTCTCTATATGAAACTTTGATGGAAGGGGTGTATATGAAGACATCATTGAAGCAACTAAGGATTTTGACATCAAATATTACATTGGTACTAGTGGTAGTGTTTACAGAGCACAATTGCTAAATGGCAAAGCAGTTTCTTTGAAAAAACTTCACTGCAAAGGGAAGTAGAGACTTATCAAGCAAATGACTTATTGCTTAAATCCATGCTACAAGTGCAGTGGGTTAGTCACTGGCCTCATATGAAATTCACCTCATAAATTGTGTTCGAACTCCGCCAACCTCTTTCCCATTTCTCCTCCCCTTTCCTTAGTGCAACAAATTACCTATGTTCAAAAAAAAAGAAAAAAAGAAAAAGAAAAAGAAAAAAAAAACAACTATTGCTGGCCCATTAAAATGGGCATAAATTCTAGCTGTTTGAATTCGACCGTATCATGTTTGCCGTTCGCTTGGTGGAGATATCTTCCACCCTGTCCACCATCTACGTGGGTGGTGGTTTCCTCATCATACTCATGCCTCCTTCCACTTGGAACGTGGGTGATTTCTTCAACTCTTTCCACTTTCAACTGTACGTGGGCTTGCCTATATAAATGTCTTGCATTTCATTCAGTTTCTTCTCCAAAATCCCTAAAACTTCTCCTTCTTCCCTCTCTGTTCATGATTAGTAGGAATCGATATATAGTTTTTTTTCCCATCTTCTATGTGTTTGTGATGAACTCCTTCCTATGTTCCTTTTTTGTCGCAGCCTCTCCCAAATTCAACAACAAAAGCCACCAAGAAACCATGATTGGTGTTATTGCTCAAGTGAGTCCAAGATGCCTTTCTTTTCTCTAGTTTTCAATGTCTTGGTGTTAATTTTCTGTTGGATAATACGTAGAAGCCACTGCTTGGTGCAACATGAGAAAGCGTCTTTGGGGGGATCGTAGTTTTTGAGCCCTGCGGACGAATTGGAAATGGTTTAATTTTTGGTATCTAAATCTAATAATTCAACTACCGCAAAAACTCCACCAAAGTAATTTAAATCCACTCCAAGGAGGGACAAATTTCTATTAGTTCCATGCTTACAATTTGGAAATAAAATCCTAGTATTTATTAATTTATTTAATTATTATTTACAAACCTTACAACTCTTAATTATTAGGACTACATTCCATCAAAAAATTTACTAGGACTGCATATCCATGTATATTCTTCAACATTATTTTTTCAAAATGTTTTTCTACTTCCCAACTAAAAAATTTGGAACGTGATTGTGATTTGAGGGATTTGAATTTGGGTTGTGAAATATGACAAATTTCACTAAGAACAAAATAATTAGTAGTAATAATTTTTTTGTTGGTCATGATTTTTTTATATAAAAAAATGTTGAAATAATAATTTTTAAACTTTCTAAATAAAATAAAAGCTATAGGGTGGGATACAAAGTCCTAAGAATTGAATAGATGAAGGACAGATAAATTCGGTAGTGTATCATGACACCCAACGTCCTTTAAAAGAATGAACGAAGAATATCTCTTTCCCCCTTTTCTCTCCCTTCTCTCCTGCCTCTGCCTCCCTTCTCCGACGCTGTGTTGTTTTTGCTCGGAAGCCTTTGAGCTTCCGAGGTTTTGATGCTTGAGCCGCCGGGTTTCCTGGCCGTTCAAGCATGGTTGGAGCCGCCCTGTGCTCCCCCCTCCGACGACCCTCCCGGGTCTGTCGGTTTTTGGGTCCCCTTTGGTGACCCCTTTGGTTTTCTTGTTTGTTCTTGTTGTTTGGTTTTTGTGTTTCTTGTATAGTTTGTTTTTCAGATCTGGCGACCCTCGCTCTCTCCTGCAGATCTTGTTAGGGGTTCGCTGTTTTGTGGGTTGTTTGCGGATTCGGCGGTGGTCCCCTCCATCCGGCAGCTTCTATCGGTGGGGTTGCACGCGGGGGATCCCAGATCTGGCAACCTCGCGACCCACCTGCTGCCTCCGCCGGATCGGGTCTCTGCAACGGCATCCGGGAGCCTGGCGCACCGTCCACATGGGTAGATTGAAGGGTGTCCCGTTCGGATCGCTCGACCGAAGGCCGCGGTATAGCTGGGTCCTTGGTGGTTGTTCGAGTGTCATGTGCACCTCCCTTCGGCCACTGGATTTGGGTCTACTCTAATCTCTTGCTCCTGTTGTAATTTTACTGTTTATTTGTCCTGTAGATGCCGTATGGCAGTGTTTGAAATTATCCAATTTCGTTATGTTCAAAAAAGAATGAACGAAGAAGTGAGCTGGAAGCTTTTTAAACTCGAAAAAAAGTCTAATGTTCAAACTTTGTCGAGAATGAGAGAAAGAGGAGTGCTAGGGGCACTCGCCTTCTGCACTCTCCGGCCAATACTGTCACTTTTATTGGGCCACGTTATTCTGATCGGTAAGAGGTTGGCCTCAGAGGGTGAAACAAGCTTACGTGGCCCAATAAAAGGGAAAGTGTTGGCCGGAGAGTGCAAGAGGCGAGTGCCCCTAGCACTGCCCATGAGAGAAATTTGAGAATGAGGATGAAATTATCTGGAACTGCAAGAGGCGTGTGGGCTACTACTACTACTACTGTTAGTAGCCTTGCTGGCTTTAAACTAAAGTTTTTGAAAAGTAGCATCCAATTCGAAACCGACTTGAATAAAATTTAATCAATAATAATGGG